CCCTCCCTCCTTTCTTTCTTTCTTTCTTTCTTTCTTTTTGGTTCCGCAGATTCTAACATCCTTTTCTTTTGTTGTATACATTTACTGTTTTGATTATTCTTTGTTATGGAAAATTTATTTTCTAGTCCTGTCTATTTTGGTGTTCTGGATGCTTCTTGAATTTTGATAAGAATCTCTTTAGCTTGGGGTAATTTTTCTCAAAAATTGTATGAAATGTCTTTTCTTTGCCTCTTCCCTGAGTTTGTTTCCTTTCCTCTGTACTTGTTAATTGTAATGTCCCAGATTTTCTGGATGTTTTGTAACGAGATTATTTTTATTTTCTAGATTTCATATTTTCTTTGACTGAGTTACCAATTTTTTCTACCTTGTCTTCAGATTGGAGAGTCTCTTTTATGTGTTTTTTCATCTATTGGTAAGCATTACCTCTGAGCTTCATGTTTGACTTCCTGCATTTTTTACTGCCTCTTTTTTCTCTTTTCTTTTTCTTTTTGTGTGTGTGTATGTGTGTGTGTTTCTATTTCTTTGTTAAATTCTACTTTCCTTTCTTGAGTTTTTTTCATTATTTTATTCATCAGTTTGTGTTTTCATAACCTTTATTAAGGCATTTATATGATTGATATTTTGAGTTTTATGCCACATGTTTCAGCTAAATTGATCTTCCTGGACCCAACACAATTAAGTTTGGTGACTTCTGGAAGAGGAACATTACTTTGTCTGTTCATGTTTGTGTTTTGATGTTGAGATCTAGACATCTGGAGTTATAATATTAAAGTGGTCCTGTCTTTGTTGAATGGGTGTTCCATTCTGTGTGTGCTGTTTTCCACTCAGGATGCTAACCACATGCAATGGCTTTGGAATCCATGGTAGAGAATGTTTCTGTGCGTAGGTGGGTATCACAAAGAAATGGAGATGGGCTGGGGGGAAAGGTGTAAAGGTTGTAGGAATGAATTAGGAGTAGCCTGGGTCTGCATCAAAAGGCAAAGTTTCCATTGAATGAAGGTGGAATTGGAGGAGGAACTCCTGTGTGCAGGTTGCTGTAGTACTAAGAGTAAATCTGGAGACTCTAGAATGGAAGACAGGAATTAAAATAAAGTTTGCCTACCTGAGTACAAGCCTAGCCTAGCCTTGCCACTGAGGCCTATGATACAGGATGATATTGTGAGTAGGTGGGCACAAAAAGATTGGAGATGGGCTTGATGGAAAGGCTTTAAAGAGTGACATCAAGAGAATACTTTTTGTTGGTAAAGACTTTAAAAGTAAACTCATTTGAATATACTCACGTTATGATGGAAATCATCAATTAGATGAATAAATGACTATATATTTTGAAAAATATGGATACTTTAATATAGTCAGTGAACATTTCTAGGTGTCTGGCATAGACTCCAATCATGTTGAAACCATGTGACCACAGTCTAATTTTTATTGTTGTGGTATGGCTGTATAAATCTCCTAAGTGTGTTCTGCCAGGCCTACATGCTAATAGTTTCTGTTTGGACAAAATGATGATTATATGGTGAGCTGTTGTGTGATGCAGTTACCTTGCATGGGTGAGGATCCACCCCATACGTTTCCAATGTATGAGCTTTCAAGAGTAAGTTGAATTCAGCCATCGCTGGGCTCTGACCTCTAAAATGACACACAAACACAACAAATTAGAGAATTCAAGTATAATACAATCAATAAAAACAAGTAGTCACTTTAGTCAATCAAATGTTATTTTCTAAGTTAAATACAGAATAAAGAGCCTTACGTCAATAGCACTGGGTACGTCTATCAGTATTTCTCACCATGTAGAACCCTTTATGAGTGTCATATTTTGTAGCTAGTTGTATAAAAATATCCTGCTGTATATTTTCCACACTCTAGTGAGTATAGAGCTAGTCAAAGTTATCAAGTTACCAGTAAGCATGTCCCAAACAAATTAAATATTAATATAAAACAAAACTTAAAATCTCTTCTTTACTATATATTTTAAAAGGCTATTCAGAATGAGTATTTCTTATTCAGACCAAAAAGTAGGTAATCATATTCTTTTGTCAACAATTCTAAACAGAACCTTCTGGGTACAAAAACTGTAAGTAATTGTACAAAGAGCCCTGAATCATCAGAGGAAATTTCAAATATTAATTCTTGAACTGTCCCTTTTTTGTAAACAAGCTGCAGATAAAGGGGGCTTAGTAAATACAGATTCAAGAAGAACTGGCTTGTACACTGAGACTATATTCTGTCTCAAAGATCCAGTTCTAACTCATGTGAATGGCTCACATGTATTACAGAGAATCTAAGCTCCTCCTATCACTAAGCGTGATTGGCTTAGTGTGTAATGTTCTTGTTAAAGAATGAGGACTTGAGTTTGAATTCATAGAACTCATGTAAAAGACATACATAAAAGTATGCATCTATTGCAACATCAGTGGTGGAGAGAGAAGAATCCTTGCAAAATCTCCCAGACCAGTTAGTATGGTGTACCAAGCAGCGAAAAATAAGACTCTTCCTCAAATAATGTGGAAAGCAATTAGAGATACCCAGTGTTGTCTCTGCACTGTTCTGTGCCACTCTGCAAGCATGCAACTATACTCACACAAAGAAAGAAACACACACACACACACACACACACACACACACACACACACACAGAGAGAGAGAGAGAGAGAGAGAGAGAGAGAGAGAGAGAGAGAAAGACACACACAGAGAGAGAGAGAGAGAGAGAGAGAGAGAGAGAGAGGGAGGGAGGGAGGGAGGGAGGGAGGGAGAGAGAGAGAGAGAGAGAGAGAGAGAGAGAGAGAGAGAGAGAGAGCCTACCCCTGAATGACTTGCCTCTTGTTATGCTGCTTTGCACTCCCACATAGGTGCTGGTCACATAACCATCTCTAGAGGGCCAACACAGCAAGAGCTAAACATAATCATCCCATGCTCTCGAATCTACTATAATGGGAGCTAAATAGATCTATTTCTAAATACAGCATGCATCCTCTAGTGTTTTGTCATAACAATGGGAAACGAAATAGGCTAAAATGGAAGGTGATTAACTTCCCCTTTCCTACATGGTATTTTTGTGACTATTTCCCCCCACATTTTATGTCTCATGGATTTCTAATCACCAAACTTAATATCAGATGACAGTGAGTTCCAGGGCTGCCCAACTGCACAGAACATTAAACTCATGAATCTCTACTAATCAGAGGTTGCTATCCAAGGTATGAATAGGCAAGTCACAGCATGGGAGAAAATATTAGCAATAAGGTCAACCAAAAAAGTACTAGTATCTAAAATACCTTAAAAAAATCCTAATAAGGAACAAACAGTATTAAAAGAAAATACAGATAACCAAGAAAAAATGGAGCAATGTCTTAACAGACATTTAACAAGTAGGCAGTATAAACAATCAACAACTACATAAAAATATGCTGAGCCCCTTTATCATAAACAAAACATAACTTAAAACTATAAGAAACCATTAACATATCTGGGCATACTAAAACTAAAAAGGCTGACAAAATCTAGAACTGGTGATGGTGCACAACAAAATCAAATTCCATCTGCTGATTAGGGAAAGCAAGTTGGCATAACTAATATAGAAAACAATTCTGACACAATATGCTAAAATATATGTATGATAAATTATAGCAATTCCACTCATCATTCTGTATGCAACACAATTGTATGCATTATTCCAAGAGCTATATGTTCCATGTAGTAGTATTTGTAATAAAAAATAGAGAAAGCAATATGAATGTATATCTATTAACAGTAGAGTAGATATAAGATGCAATACTGCACAGCTGTAAAAAATAAATAAAAGAACTGACATACAAAAAATGGGTTAATATCGCAAGTATAAAGAACCAAGAACCTAGACACACTGATAAGTACTGAATCCCTCTGTTTTCATAAGTTTATAAAGAAAGAAAACTGAAGATAAAATTAAGGTTTTAAAGTTCATTTACATCATAGTCTCAGGTCTTAAATTTAACATGATTTGGGTTGACTTTTTTCATTTTCTTTTTTTATTGGATATTTTATTTATTTACATTTCAGATGTATTCCCTTTCCTCATTCCCCCTGATCCCTTAGAAATCCTTTATCTTGTCCTCACTCCTGTTACTTATATGAGGGTGTGTCCCTACCCATTGACCCACTCCCTCTCCTCACCCTCGAATTCCCCCCACACTGGGGCATCTAGCCTTCATGGGACCAAGGACCTCCTCTCCCATCAGTGCCCAACAAGGCTATTCTCTGCTACATATGTGGCTGGAGCCATGGGTCACTCTATGTGTACTCCTTGGTTGGTGGTTTATCCCCTGGGAGCTCTGGAGGGTCTGGTTGGTTGATATTGTTGTTCTTCCTATGGAGGTGCAAACCTCTTCAGCTCCTTCAGCCCTTTCTCTAACTTCTGCATTGGGGATGCCTGGGATCAGTCCAGTGGTTGGCTGTGAGCATCAACCACTGTATTTGACAGGCTGTGGCAGAGTCTCTCAGGAGATAGGTATATCAGGCTCTGGTCAGCATGCACTTCCTGGCATCCACAACAGTGCCTGCATTTAATGACTGCACATGGAATGGATCCCAAGGTAGGGCAGTCTCCAGATGGCCTCTCCTCCAGTCTTTGCTCCAAACTTTGTCTCCATACTTGCTCCTGTGAGTATTTTGCTACTCATTCTAAGAAGGACCAAAGCACCAATACTTTGGTCTTCCTTCTTCATGAGCTTCATGTGGTCTGTGAGTGTGGTCTGTGAGGTATTGTGAGCTTTTGGGTTAATATCCACTTATCAGTGAGTGCGTTCTTTTGTGTTTGGGTTACGTCAGTCAGAATGATATTTTCTAGTTCCATCTATTTGCCTAAGAATTTCATGAAGTCATTGTTTTAATAGCTGAGTAGTACTCCATTGTGTAAATGTACCACATTTTCTGTATCCATTTCTCTGTTGAAGGGCATCTGGATTCTTTCCAGCTTCTGGTTATTATAAATAAGGCTGCTATGAACATAGTAGAGCATGTGTTGTGGTTATGTGTTGGAGCATCTTTTGGGTATTTGACCAGGAGTGGTATAGCTGGGTCCTCAGGTAATACTATGTCCAATTTTCTGAGGAACTGCCAGACTGATTTCCAGAGTGGTTGCACCATCTTGCAATCTCACCAACAATGGAGGAGTGTTCCTCTTTCCCCACATCCTCACCAGAATCTACTATCATCTGAATTTTTGATCTTAGACATTGTGACTGGTGTGAGGTGGAATCTCAGGGTTGTTTTGATTTGCATTTCCCTATGACTAAGGATGCTGAATATGTCGTTAGGTGCTTCTCGGCCATTCAAATTTCCTCAGTTGAGAATTCTTTGTTTAGCTCTGTACCCCATTTTTAGTAGGATTATTTGATTGTCCGAAGTCTAATTTCTTAAGTTCTTTGTATACTTTGGATATTAGCCCTTTACTGGATGTAGAATTGGTAAAGATCTTTTCCCAATCTGTTGGTTGCCATTTTGTCCCATTGACAGTGTTTTTGCCTTACAGAAGCTTTGCAGTTTTATAAGATCCCATTTATCAATTCTTAGAGCATATGCCATTGGTGTTCTGTTCAGAAACTTTTTTCCTGTGCCCAAGTGTTCGAGGCTCTTCCCCACTTTCTCTTCTATTAGTTTCAGTGTATCTGGTTTTATGTGGAGGTCCTTGATCTACTTGAACTTGAGATTTGTATAAGGAGATAAGAATGAATCGATTTGTATTCTTCTATATATTGACCTCCAGTTGAATCAGGACCATTTGCTGAAAATGCAGTCTGTTTTTCCCTGGATGGTTTTAGCACCTTTGTCAAAGATTAAGTAACCATAGATGTGTGGGTTCATTTCTGGATCTTCAATTCTATCCCGTTGATCTTCCTGTCTGTCTCTGTTCCAATACCATGTAGTTTTTATCAGTACTCTTCTGTAGTACAGCTTGAGGTCAGGGTAGGTGATTCCCCAACAAATTCTTTTATTGTTGAGAATAGTTTTAAATATCCTGGGGTTTTTTGTTATTTCAAATGAATTTGCAAATTTCTCTTTTAAACTCTATGAAGAATTGAGTTGGAATTTTGATGGGGATTGCATTGAATCTGTAGATTGCTTTTGGCAAAATGGCCATTTTTACTGTATTAATCCTGTCAATCTATGAGCATGGGAGATCTTTCCATCTTCTGAAATCTTCTTTGAATTCCTTCTTTAGGGACTTGAAGTTCTTGTCATACAGACTTTCACTTGATTGGTTAGATTCACGCCAAGGTACTTTATATTATTTGTGACTATTGTGAATGGTGTCATTTCCCCAATTTTTTTTACAGCTTATTTATCCTCTGAGTAGAGGAAGGCTATTGATTTGTTTGAGTTAATTTTATATCCAGCCACTTTTTAGATCCTGGATGGTTTTGTTCAATTCCTGCACCTTTTTGGCTGTGTTTTCCTGTAATTCTTAAGGGATTTTTGTGTTTCTTCCTTAAGGGCTTCTACCTGTTTACCTGTGTTCTCCTGTATTTCCTTAAGGGAATTATGTATGTCCTTCTGAAAGTCCTCAGTCATTGTCATGAGAAGTGATGGCGTATCCAGAACCTGCTATGGTAGAAGAATTGGGTTCTGATGATGCCAAGTAATCTTGC